AGGCGAATATCCACTTAAAGTGGTAAAACAATTTGGACACAATTAAATATGGATTTAGGGTTCCTTGTTTTACAGGATTCCGGAGTTGTATGTTTGGAGATTTAAACATTTATCGATTTTATGGATGGTTGAAGATTATTATCATGTATTATAATTTCTTTTTGCTTTTAATTTTTTTTTTTATTTATCATTTTGTACTCCGTGCTTGCTTATTATCTATTGCCTCTGATATCACTCGATTTTTTTGTATAAGCCTGATCAACTTATGTGTGAAAATTGAGGGTATCATAATTAAGGTGAGTAAGAATCTTTGCGTTGTTGAACAATATTGTGTGTGTGTCTATATATATATATATATATATATATATGATAAATTACACTGACCTCCCCTGATGTTTGAACAAATTACAATTATGAAGAATATTTCAGCGTTTATTACTTTAGTCTCCCTTAAACTCGTTCACGGGTGGCCAAAAACTGTAAAAGTCAGTAATGCCCTTATATTATAATATAGGACGAATTACATTGACCTCCTCGAAATTTACCATAATTACACGAATCTCCCCTACCATTTTTGAAATTACTTGAGCATCCCCTAAAAACTAAACCTTGTAACACACACCACCCTTGCAACAAATATTTTTTTTTCTTTCTTTTCTATAATTTCAACTTCATAAGTCACCTCATTACAGACAACACCCATTATTTATGATTAATTATAACATTGTGTTGTAAGGTGGCAATATGGTGTTGGAGCAGGTATACTTGAATTTTAAGAGGTGATTTACATAGGTATATGGATGTATGTATAGATTAGGAGTGAGATAGAATTCAAAATGTTTGAAAGCAAATTGAATTTTCATCATGGACTAGTGGTGATTGTTAAAAAGGGAGGCCCATGTCACAAGATTTGTTTTTAGGGGGTTAGAGTAATTTTTAAAATTTAAGGAAGGTTCGGTAATTATGACAAACTTTAAGAAAAATTAATATAATTTTTATTTTATAGAAGAAAAGGAAAAAATTATTTTTTTATAAAATCTGGTATCGAAAACAAAACAATATAAGTGTCTTTGAGCACAATATGAGGGAGTGGTAAAAGGAATAAATGCCAAATGGTCTTTCCAGAACCCAAGGGAAGTCTGTGTAATTTGCCCATATGTATATATATACTAGTGTAATCCACGTGCGATGCACGTGATAAAATAAACATTTTATATTATAAATGAATTTTAGATAAATTTTTTTAAAAATAATAAAAAAATTAATTTGGATAATTCACAATATGTATATGTATCTGTATATTAACTCTATGAATCACAAGTAAATATTAACTTCATAAATCTAGAGAAAATATGTTAAGTAATAAATAAAAAAATAGAAGAAAAAAAAAGAGTTGGAAAGAAAGAAAGAAACAAACACCTCAAAATATACCATTTATATTCTTGGTTGCTCTTAGCTCAAGATTAAGCATATATTCATTTGATTGGATTGGATGTAGATGATTTCCAAATCAAAAGAAGACATTTTGAGATAGAAGTACACACTTTCTCAATTATAATTTATAGCAAGAAATGACATTTAACAAAAATATATTTAAATGATGAGAAAATATATGTATGCAATCATATGTGGAAAAGAGCTGGTATAACAAGTTCATTATACTTTAGAACTAGAATAAAGAGATAGGAATTAAAAGTTTGACCTCAAAATTCCCACAAAATAGAAAAAATCTACAATGAAACAAACAAAAAACAAACAAAAATATTGAATTTGAAAACAAGAAATTTAGAATTATAATTACCTGATAAACTAAAGATGTTAAAAGGAAAGAAGCGATCGTGATAGAAAGAAAGTTGATTAGAACAAAGATTGAAGAATAAATTGCAAGTCTTGAGTTTCAAGTTAAAACATATAAACTCCATTTTTATGGTTTTCCTTTGCATGTTTAATATACTCATTTCAATGATATTCAAATGGCTATTTATAACTTTATTAAGTGCGTATTCCAAAAGCTTAAACTCAACTAATGAAATTATAACATATTTATAATTCATTAAAATTTTATTTTTGTATTTAAAAATAAAATAAAATAGTATATATATATATATATATGCACACACACGATATGGTAATAGATTAATAGGAACCAATATCTCATCGTTTCTCCATAAAAAAAAAAAAAAAAAAAGGATTAATTACAATGACACCCCTTGAGATTTGCCTTAATTACAGCCATATACAAGTTAACCTCTTTTTGAACAATGAGACCCCTTCAGATTTCATAAACTTAACAAAGACACTCCTGCCAGGTCTGACACAAGTTAAAATGACGTTATTACCCTTTAGCTTTTGAATTACCCTAATTTTTTAATTAAAATAAGAAAATGTATCAAAAGGCCATTTTAGGACAAAAATACCCTCATCTTCCCTATCTCTCTCCACCCACAATCCAAAATCAATATCCAATCAGTCCCTTTACAACTTCCATTGAATTTGAATTTATCTTCATTGATTCAAGACTCATCATTTCAGATACTAAATTCACCGGAACTGTCCTTGCCGAGCTCGGTGACTTACATTCACTCACTCTAAACAATTCATCCATATCAAACGATTAGTTAATAAAGTCTAAACTCTATCATTTCAACGAGAAACCCATATACTTCTGCAACTCTCTCTCTCTCGGGCTCCAGCAACGGTGACGATGCTCTGGCAACATTGAGTAGCAGTGGTGTTGGCATGATGGTGAAGCGATTTTTACGTCGACTAGATCTTGTTTGGCGACTAGCAGCGACGTGTGGTGATGCAATTCCAACGTAGACAAGGCGACGAGATCCTGGCGACACAGAACAAACATGGTGGTGAGAATCCTATGATGGCGACGATCAAGGAAGATTCTCCCATTCTCTTTTTTTTGCATTTTCTTGCTTTAGATCCTTATGCTAAATGCTCTCCACACATAAATTATACCTCTATGATCACATATTTATCTCAATAAACCCACTTCAGCTTTCACCTCTCTAGAACCCCAACCATTACCTCCATTATAAACACAAGATTCGCATAACAAGTAACAATTGAATCCAAAATTGCCGAAACGGGCTTATCGCTTTCAATCATTCACTCAATAACTTAATTTGTATGCGTAAATAAATACAAATTGTAGAGTAAAATCGCAAGAATTAAGGGATACCCATTTAGAGACGAGACCAATCGAAGAAACCCATGAGGCATTTGGGGTCACACACCTAGTTTTGGTGAAGAACGTATCAAACCAAACTTGGGTTTAACTTGCTAGACAGGTTTGTTAATTCTACGAAGAATTCCTAATTGTCGTACTTGAGAATTCCCCTACTGCGACTTCCTTCTCATTGGAGTTCTATGAGCTAGCTGTGGAATGATTTCGCAAAAACATGCCTTGATCTTGAGAAAATGCATCCAACGAGATGACAGGAGAGGTTCATCGAGAGCTCGAGGAGACCACCAATGCGGGCAATTGGGATGATCGTTTTCATCAGATCAACGACCATGATCTCTTCAACACCAAAGCCATGATCACCTTGGCCAAGACGTCAAGATCATCGCTGCCAATTTGATCGTCGACGATGGTCGGTGGTGCTGGTCGTCGTCGTAAGTCGGTCGGATTTCGAGAGGGTTTGTCATGATCTAAGGGTAAGGGTATAAAGAGATTTTGTCGGTTGAAAATAAGGCTAGGGTTACATAAGAGAGGTGAGATCTGCAAGGGTTAAGAGAGTGATGACAAAGGAGTTGAAAGGTTAGAGAGAGAAACAATAGAGAGAGTTGTGGTGGTTGGGTTTTCTAAGATGGGCATTTTAGTCATTTTACGATTCTAATATTTTCTCATCATATATTAATTAAATATTGAAGGGCAATGTAGACATTTCGTTACCAAAATTTGATATAAAACTAAGAAGGGGTGTCATTGTTCAAAAAAACACTAAGTTATATATGGCTGTAATTAAGGCAAATCTCGGGGGGTGTCATTGTAATTAACCCAAAAAAAAAAAAAAAAAAAAGGGTAAAGTACATTGACACCCCCTGAGGTTTGAGGAAAGGACAAGCAGAGGAAAGTTAGCCTATTTTTGGACAATGACACCCCTTCAAGTTTGAAAAATGGACAAAGAGACCCTGAAGATGGTGAATTGACCTTATTACCCTTTCAAATAAAATTAACATTTTAATTGACTTAAATACCCTTTGATTGAACCCAAACCAAACCCAAACCCAAACCCGAACCCGCCTTATACAGTTCACCAGAGGAGAGAGAAGGGAGATCAGATGGATGGTGGTTGTGGCTGCGGTTGTAGTGGTGGGTGTAGAGATAGGGGGAAGAGAGGGGCAGCCTTAGTTGAAGAGATGAGGTGAAAAGGAGAGGGAGGAAGAAGATAGGAGAGAGATTGTGGTGATGGCTGCGACAGTGGGGGTGGCGGCGGCGATGACTGCGACAGTGGCGGCGAAACCCAGAAGCATCGGCGAAAGAAATTGCCGGCGAAACCCAGAAGCATCTGTATGTGTATATACACACACTGCATATACTGCCACTGCCATCAACATCACCCCTGCGCCGTCGCCAACATCACACCTTAAACTCCGCCACCGCCGCCACATCATCACACCTCAGCCGTCGGGGTTCACCCTTCACGCTCATCATCATCACACCTTCACGCGCTCCTTCTTCAGCGATGTTTTTTCGAAGCTCACCATCTGTCGCTGGGGTTTACCACCTCCTTCATGAAACCCTTGTAAGTTACAGACGATGTTATGGTGCTCACCATCTGCTGCCGGTGCTAACCACCTCAATTTCTCGGCCTTAGAAACCAACCGAAGCCACATTTTGCTAACCCTTGCTCCAGCTTCACCTCCTACCAACAACGGCCACATCTACAAGCTTTCTCTCACATACAGAGCTCACAGCAACCCTTATCGGCGGCGAAACCACCGATTTCATCCTCAACTGTCCATATCATCCAGATCTAAAGATGACGGAACCAATTGTAGAGTCGAGCCAAACGCCCCTCATTCAGCAATCACTCCATACTCAAAGCTTCGCTCTACACTCAAACATCAACTCTCTGCCGCCGTCAAGAATCAAAGACGCCGGCGTAGGGAATATGTCTCTGTCAATCCTTGATCTGTCCGCTTCACGCCAGAAACTTGCGGCGGCGGCTAAGGAGTTATTTGAGGGGTTCTTGGAGGATGAAGGTGTCGGTGAAAGGAGTAACCAACATGTGAATGAAGGAGATGGTGAACCACTCGTCGACCGGTGGTTGGAAGGTGTGGAAGTGGTGTCATGGCCGGGTCTGGGTTTGATAGGTTTACAATATACATATAGATATATAATATATATATATATATATATATATATATATATATGTATGTATGTATTGGTGTAATAAATGTATAAGGGTAAAAGAGTCATTTAAATTTTTTGATATTTTATAATTTAAATTAATAAAATATTAAAGGGCAATCTTGACTTTTTACAAAATTTAAGGAGCGGTTTGGATCAAGTTTTTGACCAGGAGGTGTGATTGTCCAAAAATAGACTAACTTGTATCTATTTGTCTTTGTGCCAAACCTTATGGGATGTTTGTGTACTTTACCAAAAAAAAAAAAAAAATATCTCATCGCTTCATAGTACAGCCGTTCTACAGATTACCAAAAACCCTCACTCTCTCATCCCTCACGGCCTGCCACCGAAGCCGGCTTCGTCAACCTCACCGACCACCCACTGGTTTTACGGCCTACGGTCAGTTCTCTCTCTTTTTCTTTTTTTCTTCAAAGTTAAAGATCCATTGCTGTTCGTGGTATACCCAAAGTACAACTTAGTGAACTTGCTGCGTGTGGTATACATAAACAGTTTTTGGTGGGGAGACTTAAACCGGAGGGGGAAGGTACTCATGCCCCCTTTGCCATCCCTATGTACGTTGTAATTAATCAAGAAGAAGAAAGGTAGTAGTAAGAGCACTCTCTCTATTAGTTTCACTTGGTAATAACCAACTAATTACCCATCAAATATCGAAATTTCAGTGAGGTCACTTAGCTTTCCATAGTAAATATAGCTAGGGGTGCAAATTGGGTGGGCCCAATTCGGACAAACTCGAGCCTAGTTCCAAAGTTTTTGGGCGGGCTGTTTAACTTGCAATTTGGTTCGAGCTTGGTTTGAAAAGTAACAACCCCATTTCATTTTGATTGGAGCTCGAGTTACTGTGTGGATCAATTCGAAGCCTAACCTGAGGCGGTCCTGAACTATATGTAAACCCGACTTATCAACCCCAACAATGAATCAGATATATACTGTAAAGCTGACCTCCCCACCTTGAAGGGGACGATTTCTCCCCCAAATTTTTTTGTTGGAAAAAATAACCTCATTAGAGCATGTCAGCTCATAAAAGGTGGCTATTTATGTTATTTCAAAACTTACATCCCCAGCTTCTATTTCACGTGCCTCTCCCCCAAGAGCGATCGACCTTGTGCACCAGGTGGGTTTCTTTGCTCCCACTACACCACAACCACCAGATCGAACCTAGTCCCCCACACCCATATCGGTGTCCCCTTTGGTCTCTGATATCTCTTCGTTGGGCAGTATTCTTTATTTTTTTCCCAAAATTATATGATTGTTGTGCTGAAATTTTATGAGCACCACTGCCACTAGATCGAAACTAGTCCGCCACACCCATATCGGCGTTCCTTTGGTCTCTGATATCTCTTCGTTGGCCTATATTTGTTTCAAATTTTTTTCCGAAATTGTATGATTATTGTGCAGAAGTTTTATGCCCTTGACTGTATTGGAACAATTTGCATTTCATCTCTGTTGGAAATATTTGTGCTTTTGGATTCAGATATTCTCTACCTAGTTTGATTTGGTATAGATCTGATTCTAGCAAATACATAGCGTCGGCTTATGTAGCCTTAACAGGCGCGAGTAGTAGGGATTAAGTTTGTCTTGTTTCATATGTTTTGTTTTGTTTTGTTTTTTTTTTTTTTTTTCCTTCGCAAACTAGGTGGAGTGGGGATTTGAACTCGGGCGTACCTGCTCGAGGAGCTGGGTGCTCTATCAACTAGGCCAGTAATGCCCTCTTGTTTTGTATGCGAGCTTTTATGTTTTTTATACACAAGTGCATAAACCATTTTGTGTATCCGATGAATGTTGGGATTCCATTCTCAAGTAGTTATTTTGCACTATAAACTAAATTGAAGTACGGTATATAATTATTTGATTGCCTCTCCATTGTGATTTAGTTGTTTATTTGAAAAACTTTCAATCAATTATGTTTTTTTTCCTTCTGAAGGTTATTCTTATATTGGAGCGCCTTTTAAGGAGGTCAGAATTCAGAGCAGATACTGTAATTGGGGCAAGGATGTCTGAGGTGTCTACTTAAACTTGAATACATTCACATTCCCTTTTCATGCACTTGGATCCTCACCTATAATATCCTTTGCTGTGCTGATGGTTTTTCAACATATTACATCTGCTTTTCAACTGTGATTTTTCAACTTATTACATCTGTTTCTCAACGCAATAAAAATAAGTAGATGTAAATATGTTGAAAACAGGTGTAATTGTGTTGAAAAACCCTATGGCACCACTACAGCAAGGGAGATTACAGCAGAAGATCGGGGCTCCCTTTTTCGTACTTATATTACTGTTCGTGCATTTATTTTAATGATATGCGCTATTATCTTATTGTGGTCATCTTCACGTGTTGATGTTAGTGTTGTTCAAATAATGACAGGTTGGATATGCTCATCTAAAGGAAGAAATTGGTGATGATGTCATAGCAACATTGGCAGAGATTGTTTGGTATGATGACAAACCTCTATTTCTCTCTTTTATGAAGGAGCTATTTCAAAGAAAAGTACCAAAAACAGAAGAAGTTAGAAAGAAGGAATCATCTGATTATCAAGCTAAATATTGCCCACCAAAAATTTTGCATGGAATTTGTCAGTTTGGCGTAATAGATTGTGCCATCGCTTTTCTCGGAGGGGAGACCGGTTTCATCGCTGATCTCAATATTCCCTTTAACGATGGATTATATCCATTGCATTTAGCAGCTAATGGTTTATCATATGAAATGATTGCGACATTGCTTAGCCATGGAGCTCAGACTGATGTCAGAACCATAGAGGGTAAATTTAGGGGCGACTTGTTTCCTCTCAACGTATCACTTGAAACAGTAAGGTAGAAGACAGATATTATAATATAAAATTATTCTTTCTTATTTCTTTCATGGGGCCTATAATATGAACTTAGATCAAGGTTTAATACATCATTCTTAACTACTTAATTCTTTTCCCTTTTTTTTGATTGGATTTTTAATGTGGCTGATGCAGTTATCATCGATCCTTGATTGATTGTACCCCAAAACAGTCTATCTTCAAATTGATCGTTGTTCTTTGTCTGCCTCAAATGGTTTGTTTAGACAAAATTTATGTGTATTACAAATAGTGTTTACTTTCTATACATTTGAATGGGTTGAGAGGTCTGATCTTTTTTTTTTTTTTTTTTTTTTTGTTGCTTATTATGGTTAAATATGGCAGAAAGTACCATTAGAAATTAATAGGTTGCTGGCATGGAACACAAAGGAGGTTGATAAAATATTTATTCATTATGCTATGGAGGGAGAACTTATTGAGATGGCTACTCTACTGATGGTTGCTCGAGAAAAGTTAATCCCTTTGAGCATGTCAATACGCAAAAGCATCATTGAAGAGATTGTAGGACTAACTGAAGATGAAATCAAATTGATCGGAAGTCACAAGAATGATAAGTTGGTTGAAGAGATTGTAGGACTAACTCAAGATGAAAGCAAGTTGCTCGGAATTAATAAGATTGGTAAGTTGGTTCGGTCGCTTAACGATATTAAGGCAGCGATGACGCGGGGAATATTGTTGCTCAAAGTGTTTGAGAAGGCTGGTGTTGCTCTTGAAAAATACAGGCAGTTAGTACAGAGTGAAGTAAGTTGTTATGATCCGTGTTTTTTATGGTGTTTGTGCTTGTTTCTTGCGATTTATTGTAATTCTCATATTGTTTGCAACATGCATAGATTTAAACTTTTTTTCTTTTCTTCCAGAAATTGTGTAGAGATTTATTTGGTTATGATATTTATACCTATTAAAAATTACACTGACCCCCATGTGGTTTGCCTTTGTCACCCAGATAGAACTTGGCAATGTTTTTGAAAGTCACACCTCCCGTTAGCTTTTCCACATAAAAAATGTGTGAAATGTCTAATTTGCCCTAAATTTTTAATGCTTTTTTATTATAAAAAATAGAGAAACCAAAAGACTACTTTGCCCCTAAAACCAAAAGACCCATTTTTAATGCTTTTCTCACATTTTCAGCTTACCCCACCACTGACCATTTCCAACACCACCCACCATCGCCGCCCACCACCACCTGCCCCTTCCTTTTCTCTCTCCCCACTCACCACCGCAACCTTCACCCCACTACCACCATTAAAACAAGCTTCGCATCAATCACATACCAACCCGAACCCCAACTCAGTTGAGTCCAACTCGTCCGCCATTGAAGCCTTGCTCGACCTCGAAACCGAGGCAGACAAAAATACCCCTATACACCTCAGTTATGTCTCTCTCTCCTCCACAACCACAATCAGCTGTCACATCCCTCTCTACACATTTCAATTGGGACACTCTCTCCTCCACCCTTCCTCTCTCTCTCACTCTCTCTTTCAATAGTCCACCTCCACCACTCCAACCACCCACCTCCATCACTCCCTTCGCCATACTCCACCACTCTAACCACCCAACCACTACACACCTCTGAAACCCTAGCCTATACCACTATTGACAACTCAATTACTTAGAATTTGTGATGTTGTGGCCTGAGTTTGGTTCTGGGGTCGCAACTACGCCCCGTTTAGTACCCTCTTGTAGCCCGATATATAATGGGCGTTTAGGGTTTGGAGTGGGATATAGATAGACATTGAAAATTGTAGAAAATAGAGCGAGAGCGAGAGCTAGGGTTTGGGGGTTGAAACTTGTACCTACCAGATTTTTGCATAGCGAATGCTTTCGCCAGAATTTCATTGTGGATGTAGGCTTTGGCAAGCCACGTCTGCCCGTGCTTTGTGATTGTTGCTTGGTTGTGATTGGTTTATGGTTTTGATGGTGAAGATGGCGTCAATTTTTGGAGAATTTTTGTTTCTTTCGTGTTTTGGTTGTGATTGGTTTAAGGTTTTGATGGTGAAGATGGTGTCATTTTTTAGAGAACTTTTTTTTTTCCTCATAAATGGAGGAAATTTTTATAAATATAAACATTATGGAGAGAACTTTTCGTTTCTAGATAAGGGAAGGCATAGAGAGGTTTTAGAGAAGGTGTTTGGTGGAATGAAATTGATGAAATTGCATGACTTGCCTTCATTGGTTCATTAGTTATTTGTTTTGTCAGTGAAGGGGTTATATGGGGCCATCTTGAATGGTGAAGACTTCAATTGGGGGTGATTGAGGGTGGTCTGGACCTTGATGGTTCGACCATGGAGTAGTGGTTGCAGAGGATTGCAATGCATGTGTTTTAGAGAGAGAAGGAAGAGAAGAAAGAAGAGGTGGTGGCTGTGGGTGGGGGTGGGGGTGGTGGTGGTGGCAGCATTGTGGGTAGGTGGTTGAGATGAAGAAGTTATTTTGGACATTTAAAATTAGTTAGAATGGGTTAATTGGTAATTTAACTATTCAAAGTGTCACTTCACTAGTAAAAGGGCATTCAGGTCATTTTACCATGTGCGAGAGCGTTCATGGAGTGTCTTTGTCTAATGGAGCGAATCTGAGGAGGTGTCACTATGAAAGAATTGGGTGTCAAAGAGGCAAACCACAGGGGTGTTGTGAATGCTAGTTGTTTTTCCTTTTGAATGAAAATGGTCATCTTTCAACTCGTATTACTACCAGTTTCCTCATGTTTTAAGCTTTGACCCAACACTTCCACAAAGTTACTCCCTTAATGTTTTCTTATAGATGCCAAAAGAAAAGGTGGTCAACGACATTAAGGCGCTGCTTGAGAGAGCCGGGTTTGTTATAAACGACAAAGATGTTGATTTAAGTGACATTGACTGGTTTGGCACCTAATTACTTTGTTCAGTTGATCAGTGAAAATTTTGTATCTTCTTATCTCTCTTTCTTTAGGTGATTTGATTGTGAATAAGCTTTAGTATTCTAATGCATGTTTATTTTTTCGTGACATTAAAATGCCATAGTGAAAGTGAAAGTATCAAAGAGGCAACGGAAGAATTAGGTGATTGGTTGATTTCCACTTCAACTGACTCATGCTTCAAAGGAATTTTCCAGAAAAAACCCATTAAACTAGTCTGATTTTGTTATGTTTTGTTTTACACAGAAGAGAGTTTAACAATGAGGTCTTATTCAAAGGATCTCTGGATGCCACCTCCCTCACTGTCTAACAGTTTTTCCGAGGAAAAGGTAAGAGACATAGATAGTAGTTTGTCCTTGCTGATGTTTTTCTCATTAGGAATGGTAAATTCTTGCTTCACATTTTTTGAAGTATAAATTTTAATCTTTTGGTGTGCTGTTAAGAATTATATTCATGAATACTTGAGCAACTCATATCTCTCCCATCCGCTTATCATTCCTCCCGACCTAGCAAACACTCATTTTTGGTGTTTCTCATATCCGAGGTTGATGCTACTATATTATCAGCTTTTTTATGTGGCATTTGAGGATCACCTATGTGTGGTTGGTTATATGATGCATTGATTCTACCTACATAGGTTCTTAGCACTGGAGGTTTGGAAAACGCGGGTGATGATCTCGTGGCTTATCTTTTTCTTGCCCATTCCCAAAAACTATGGTTGGGTTGATTGTAAAAATTCCAAATGTTTTTGCTGCCTCTCTCTACTCTTCTTCTTCCCTCTATTCATCTTATATTGAATTATTCTCTTTCTTCCCGTATGTTTAATTGGGTTTTGGAAGTGTCTTATGTGGCCATTTGCATAGTCCTGACTATTCCAGGCTCTCATTACAATATTATTGAAATCTACTCTTTACTTGCATACTTTTACGTACTTTTCTGCATCCTCTATCATATCCCTTTTTTTTAGTCTATCAAAGCATGAAGCTTTCAAGGCTAGAGGTGCATTTTACATAATCTCAGATTTGGTCTTGTGTCTATTAAGAGCCGTTCCACGATATTCTCCACAATTTTTTATTTATACCCCAAAAAATTGTTCTTAATAATCTGAATCTAGGTAACCTTAGGGTTGCATTACTTCATTAGTGCGGAAAAGTTTTTGTATCTACAATCTAGCAATCGATCACTTCCCAAACCAAACTAATTCTGACCCCTTTCATCTATAAACCATATACATGTTCCTCTACCTTTCAGGGCGATGGTTCTATATGATTTTGTTGATAAAAGAACACCAGAAAATTATTTGTTTGTAGCATATTACTAAGTCTACTGAGTCAGCCAACATCATGAGTTCAATATTGATAGGTCTTTTAATGCGTCATCCCACCACTGGAAATCAAACGAAATGCTTGGGTTTTCAGAGGCAAGATCTCCTTGCTGAACCATGTTTTGGACCAAATTTGTTCCTCCATCATAGAGAGGCTCATGGGTGGGTTTTTGAAAGATTCACCCCAATCTTGTTGTGTTTTGCTCATCTGGGGTATCTCCCCCTCCTCCTGCCATCCTCCAAGGAAGCCTCTTGACTTGAGATCGGCTTGAGAATTGTTACTGGGCTTGGGTTTATTTTGGCTTTTTTTGTATCGTATTCCCATTTATAAGTGGTGGTTTCTAATTGGGCCTGGTCTCTCACTTAGAGATCTTATCCGGTGGACTTGTCCACTTTTTTCATTTTATTGTTTTATACAATTTGCTTGAAATTCTGGAAAAAGATATATGTATAACTTCTACAATTAGCAAATTTCTTTGGCTATATATGAGCACCAAAAGTCACGTGTTTTGTTTTCCTTCCAACCTCATTTAATCCAAAGGTTCTATGTGTGATAGCCTGTTGACAACAATTGAATGTCAAACATTAAATTAGTAAGACTCACTTTTAGAGAAATTTTTGTAACCTTGTCTACTTGTAATTCTTGTTTCATTAAATGTATTTTTTTTCTTTTTTGTTTTTGGGATAAAGAAGTAGCAAGTCGGGGATGTTGAGGATGTCTTTCTTCCATTTTTTTATTATTTCAACAATATTACCAATTAAATCCTTACGACAGTGGAATGCCAAACTATCAATGAGTTGGACTCACTTTTAGAGAAATATTGGTACCCTTGTATGTGTACTTGTAATTTTTGTTTCATTAATTTTTTTTTTTCTTGGATAAAGAAGTAACAAAGTGGGAATGTTGATCAACATTAAAAGTGTGCCTAGTATCCAAAAAAGCCCCAGGCTTGTCAAGGCTCAGTTAAGAGTGCTTCGACCTACTAAAGGCCAAGCCCAAGCCCCCAGACTCTCTCATTTTACGTCCTTTATTTAATGACCATTAAATTAAAATGTTTTGTATAATATCACGATCATATTTAATGGATCATATTGTTTGACTTTATGATATATTTGACAAATTCATAGATTTATGGTTGACTTATTACATTAATTGCATTCATTTTGATTCTAAATAAACATGATTGTATATGTTTAATGTCTACTTGATCATAGCTTTTTATTGTTTTACGTTTGTAATCACATCTAATTTACTAAATTTATACGCCTAAGAAATGATTTATGCAACATCAGTTTACCAGATCCTCTTAGCTTGATAGGTCAAAAATCCCATTTTTATAGAATTATTATTTTGATATGATTTTTGCACATCATTGAAATGTTGGAAAGATTTCTTTATTTTGATATTGACTAGTATGTGTTGCATAGTTCAATAATTTTTATTAAATTAATCTTTAATATGCTTCTTTATCATACATGCGCCTTTTATCAGTCTCTTGCCTTGTATTGTGCCTTGTGCTTGGGCTCCAGGAGACCTTTGGCGCTTTAGTGTATACCTTGAGCCTTAACAAGTATGCTTTTTGTGTATTTTTGAACAGAGTTCGGTCATATATAAAACTTTTAGAACATTCATCGAATATGGGCCCCTTGTTTTTACGCCTTCGTCACGGTCATACGTTACATTCCCGCTCATGGATAAAAAGACACATCGTGTTGCTATAAGTGCTAACTTTTCGAGAACCCCTAGACCCCCAGCAATGATAGTATCTGCGGCATATCTTCTATCAAGAAATCAGTTTGCCTCCTTGGCATTAGCAATCAAGAAGAGGTTAACTTGCATATGATTGGCAAATAAGGTACTGATTGCTTTTCCTGCATTTTGAATTTGTCTATTCATTTCAAATTTATTCCTTGAGTTTCATTTGTTGATCAATATTGTATGATCGACAACTCAACTTTGGCATATCCTCTTGCCCTATCTTCAGCTTTTACAAATAATTACCTCTACAATATGTTTTGATTTTGATTTGATTAGTGTGCATGTGGAATTTTTGGTGATTGAATTATTACCTGCTTGGATTGGATCTTTATGGATAATGAAAATTATATTGTCTTACTGTAGTCAATGGACTCATGATTGCACTGGGGTTGACTTGGCCACTGTTTGAATTGTAAATGGAAGCTGTTATAAGAGCACTAAAGGCCGTGCATTTTCTTAAGAAGCAAAGCTGGGAGGCTTATGCAAGTGACAAATAAAATACAGAAGATTTTCTACTCATGATGCCTTGTTTTATAGTTGTTATTTTATTATTTATTTGAGTCCTAATCTCTCAACTTTGGCTGAGAGCCTGAGAGGAAAGCCTTCGTAAGTTAGTCTTGTAACTCTATGTTTTCAATTTTTAAATTTGTTTGATGTTCATACTAACTGAATAAAATATTTAAACAATTTTAAATGCATGTTCCAGTTTGTTAATTTCATGTACTTAACCATAGACTACAGTTGATTGTATTTGGGGTCTAGCATAAAGGTTACTTATATATAATCATGAATTAGTAATTTTCATTGGACTATTTGAGAAAAAAATAATAAATTATGACATTTTATGCCTAAGTAAGGATGAATGATTGAAATTTATGTATTTTTCGTCAATTAATTATTTATGATTTATGACCAAGATAATAAATAGGAGGAACAAATTCTGACATTTTATGCCTCGATACTAAAAAATAATAAATTATGACATTTTATGCCTTGATACTTATTTTCATATCTTATTATTAATTGTATTGTTACTTTAGCTTGAATCACTCAATTTTTGGTAGAATTTGTTAAGTATTAATTTTAGATTATGGGTGTCCTAATCAATTCCTTTTGGAAACAATCTTGTAAGGGAGATGATAATCGCATTTCACTTTTCTACGAGGTTTCTGTAATATCAAAGATCGCTAGGGCTTTGTTCGGTCCAATGGAAAATGAATGAAATGAAAACATTAGTTAGATGAGAAAAAAATAATAATAATAATAAATAAAAGAACGGATAATAATCATGTGTCCTATATAATGAATTTATTATCGTACTTGTAAAATGCAGGTGCAATGTTCGTCGAGTGTAATATAATTCAACCAAAATAAAATAAAATAAAATGAAAGAAAAATACAATATTGTAATTAAAAATATAAAATTTTCTTAATAATATTATTATATAAGATAATAAGATTATATAATTATATATTTGATTGGTACCCTAAATTGAATTAAAATAAAAATTTATTATTAATATTTTGACAAATTAAGGAGTGTCAATGTTTACAATAGTAAGGGAATAAGCTTAAAAATTGAATAAGTGTGATTTTATTATAGATTTAAATCACTTGGGTTTGCGTATGCCTATTAAGATTTAAATCATTTGGGTTTGGTATAAGCTTACAAATTAAAAAGATGCCTACAAAAAGTGAACAGGCATCTACCCAAACTCACGGGTAGCCCCTATTACCACAACAACAGTGTGCAAGCATCTCCTGTCACACCCAATCTCATAGGTATCCGCTGTTACAGAATTAACAGGTATCCCCCGTTACATGGTCACAGGTAATTCTCGTTACTGCACCATGGTCACAGGTAATTCTCGTTACTGCACCAGACTCACAGGTATTCCCCGTTACGACATAACACGACTCACAGCTAACCCCCGTTACAACACGACACGACGCACTGACGACAACATGACAAGACGCACATATAATAATGCGACATGACTCCCAGATAACTATGAGACACGACTCAGACAATAATGCAACACGACTCACAGACAACCGTGCAACACGACTCATAGGTTTCCCTTGTTACAACACGACATGACTCACAGGTGTCCTCCATTATAACACAACACGACTCACAAGTAGCCCCCGTTACAACACGACACGACTCACAGGTAGCCCTCATTACAAAACTCACAGGTATCCCCTTTACATAGTCACAGGTAACCCCCCGTTACATCACAGTCACAGGTCGCCCTCGTTACATCACAGTCACAGGTAACCCCCCGTTACATCATAATCAATCACAGTAATATCTCGTCTCCTCTGTGGACAATCCCTCTTCATGTGGCCCGGCTGACCACACGGAAAACAAACTCCGAAACTAGGTCTATCAAGAGGACACTCTGCCTTGCTGTGTCTTGGCTGTCTACATTGATAACACATCACACTCGTCCTAGAGGACCTTGAAGAAACACCAACAATAGGAGTAACACCTGTCGTTTGCTGCTCCTGAGAAAATAATGAAGCACCTCTGTGCCTTTTCCTGTCCTGGCTCTTGGAAGAAGTACCCACATTCGTACCTCGTTCCTGAGAACCCACAATACCACTCATTTCTTGCCAATCTTTGGCTTCTGTTTCTGCCATCAGCTCGTAACCACTTCCGAATAATTCTTTAATCCCAAAAGTGTCACCCCCGGCCTAATTAAACGATTTAGACCGTACATAAACTGCCATGTCTTCTCATTTTCGATCCCTAACACATCTGTAGCGAAACGTGAAAGAGAAGTGAACTTATTCTCATACTCTGTCACTACCATGTCACCTTGTTCAAGCCCGTCAAACTGCGTCCTCAATTCCCGTCTTTTAGTCTGCGGGAAATACTTATCAAAGAAAAGACTCTTGAATGCATCCCAACTCATACTGTCAATATCATGTGCGCTAGTCATGGTCTTCCACCATACTGCCGTGTTGCCAACAAACTTATACGTGGCTGGGGTGATCTTCAACTGATCATCGGGCACGGCTATTGCCCTGAAATGCTTTTCAACTTCATTTAACCAATCGTCCGCTACCAACGGATCTGGACCTCCCTCAAATGCTACTCTCATGAGTTTGTCAAACTGAATCAGGTACCTAAGATTCTGCTTCGTCTCCGTCTCCTACGGCTGAATAGCCGATTGTGGTACCACTTGAGGAGATGTGGTATTCGCTAAATTCTGAAAGGTTGAGGCTACAGCCCCTGCTAATAAGATATCATCCACCGGTACTTGTGGATTATCATCCGTCTCTCTATCTCGACCCTGTCCTATTGAAACCCTGTCTGGTTAGGATGGCCCTTCACTTGCTCGCTGTCCAACTTCATCTGGATCCATCTCACTACGTCGTCCTCAAACATGGTTCTACAAAGACAACTAAACGATCAAAACAAGAATACATGAAGTAACTCAATCCACGAGCTATGGTGCTCACATTATCCGTTCGATAAGAACTAAAACGTTCAGAAACATAGGAATGACTAAGCTCTCCATATACGCGGGTTAGAACCCTTCGTAACCCAACACACAGCACCGCCACGAACATTCAAACCCATCAACAATGAAACGCATTAGTCATACGTACATCTACTAAGCAAGGACTCAATAAACAGTAGACAATTAAGCACTTAATAATTATAGTCATGAAATACACATACTAACATTTAAACATATATGTATATAGCAATTAAGCATGCTTTAAACAGATTTAACCATTTCATTAATCATACAAAAAATTTCACATAAGCATCTAGCAAATAGGCATGTTTTCACATTCATTAAACAATGACTTAAGAAAAATAAGCACATTATCATTTAGCATGTTTAAATTTAATCACCATTTTATAAGTCTCATAATCGATTCGCATGTAAACACGTAATAGCAAGTCGTGCTTTTTAACTAAATAAACTATAACTACATAAGCATGCAATACTGTCAATCTCAACTCTAACTCAACCTGGGTCAACCCTACCCGTCGTCTTTGGGTTTTCGAACCTAAAGCTCTGATACCAATTTTGTAACGACCCAAACCGGGGTCAACTAAGGGCAATTCCGTCATTTTCTATGCTCACAGGGGATACTCAGATCATTCAAGGGTCCAGAGTCATTCTAAAACACAGTTTAGAAGGAGAAGTCAAAGTACAGGTCAGTGGATAAGGTCAGCCAGCTGATAGAGAGGTTAACCAAGTCAATGGAAGGATCAGCCGGCTGAGAATGCATGGTCGGCCCGACTGAGATAGTCAGTCGGCCGAAACGACTCCCAAAGCTGCTCACTCTCGAGACTTTGGTAAAGTGATCCTTCAGCCGACTAAAAGTAAGGTTCAGCCGGCTGAAATGATCTCCAAAATTGTTTACTCCCGGGACTTCTCTAAAATGAAGTGTCGGCCGGCTGGTGATGAAGTGTCGGCCGACTGATGATGGAGTTTCGGTCGACCGATGGTGAGGTTCGGTTGGCCGAAATAAGACTTCTCAACTACACAACTCAATGGAATGGTCTCGAGATGCCTGTCAGTCGGCTGACATGCCTTGCCAGTCGGCTAATGAGCCCTGGAATGTACCTGAAGGTTTATAAACTCTAGGCTCTTTGTGAGCCAAACCCAATGCCCAACCTATCCCAACCTCACAACAATAATGATACACATCACGAGTCATCATCATCAATGAAATTAATCAAATAACCCATAGTCATCTCACCCATCCCAATAAACCATCATGATTATTACATACTTCCATAGCCATACACAAAATACATCAAATTGTTGTCTAAAAATACGGATACACTGTCAAATTATAACAATAAAACGATTACATATAATTGTTTAAGATTCACAAAATATACATCTTAATACAATGTGATATAAGTCCAACCCCATCCGTGTTCGTGGAAGCTCAACACCCACCAGCTCAATCCCGTGACCTGAAAAATTGTAGAGGAGTGAGCACAACGGCTCAATTGAGATTGCCTAAGTGGCACCTCCTCAAACAAAGTAAGTAATCCAATGCCTTACACACAATGAATAGGTAAAATGAGTGGGGTCATGCGAGGGATTTCACATACGG